AATCCTCACAGACACACTTCCTAAAGCTCAGGCTGCCCTCTTGCTTTTCCCTGCTATATCAGAGGGGAGCAGGGCATAGGCCTCGTTTGAAAGATTCCCTGGTGGTTTTGAGCAAAAGGTTGTGCCCCTACCTACCCTCTTGCAGCTGCAGGGCTGAAGGCTTGAATTTCTGCTCACTTTTGCCCACTGCAGGAGAGAGAACAAATCTTATTGACCATTAGAAACCTTCATCTATCCCCTCCTGCAAATCAAAGGGGATGTTGTTATGGAAGACCTCCAAAACTGCACTAGTAAAGAAAGGAGATGTGAGACAGCAAGTAGGACACAGGCAGATGAAAATTTGGTGCTAGGAACCATGGTAATATTTATTTCTAATTGGCAATTTTTCTCTTCCAGCTAGTATGCATTGAGGTTTTTTAAAAAAAAGGAGTTTTGATATCTTAAATAGTAAATGTCATCTACTGAAAGGACTGAAATACAATTTCTGCTACAAATCACTCACTAAGCTACTGATAGCTAGTGATTGCCCTCAGCCTGTGTACCTATGGAAAGATAGGCAGGCAGGTACTAATAACTCCTCCTTCTCCTTTACCCTCTTTACTTTTCCATATTTTTCACAGGTTTCTCCTTTTCTCTCTCTGGTTCCTTTCACAGCCCCAAGTGGAAGGTAAACCAGATAATGTTTGAGTTAGATATTTGACTCCATTTGGTTATATTTACTTGGAAATCAAGCAAAGCAAGTATGACCCACTTCAGTCACTGCTGTTGAACTATGATTTAACAGTGGACAAGCATAAGAGCAAAGAATATTTATTTAAAATGAAGCAATTCTTGTAGAGTTTTGTCCTTCTGACAATAAGGAGAGTGTATACCTGGGTAGGACAACGACCACTTAACGAAAAACAAACACAAAAATGACCATTCCAGGAAATACTTAGCAAGCTCCCACTGAGAATATTTGTCCACCAAGAAATGCACACATCCCTTCTGATGCAAGGATCACATTCCTTCTGCTTTCATTCCAGCCACAAGTCACACATCCAGCTCCAGTTTAGCTCTCCCTGAGGAAAATGCACATATAATTGATGTGTTTTTCCCCTTGCTGCCCCTTCTCAGGTGCCATTCACAGAGGTGCAAGCCCCTCTGCCAGTCTGGGACAGTCAGCAGGGCAAAATCACAGGTGAGAATATTAGAGGACATGGCACATGGCATTTGTGGGAAGAATTCAGTTACTAACACTTTGAAGGATGCACAAAATATTAACAGTAAGCAAGCATGACAAGCATGACAGTGAGCAGAAGGCAAGCCAAGAGTACAGCCTTGACTGAAAATTCCAACAGTGGCAGGGAGGGGATTTAGGGCTGCTCCTCCAGTTAACTGGGCCCTACTGATGCCAAATTCAGATCCCTGGGTGGGCACTGTGTATAGCACCAGAGTCAGGTTGTTGTTCTCTGCCAGAGAAAAGATAATGAAACCACAGGCTAATAACCTGGGGCTCATTAATGTTTTTGTAGTAGCTGGAATATATCAGGACAGCTTGAAGCAGCACCCTCCCTGCTCTGCCTGCTCCCAGGGTGACAGCCCAGGATTATGCTCAATTACTTTAGGTCTTTGTTATACAGCAAATGGAAAGGATGGAAACTAAAGCTGCACTCCAATTGAATATAAAAGTAATTCCAATTTATTAAATTATTGCAGACCACACAGTTCTTGTGAAGCTACTTCTGAAGAGTATGTCTTACTAAATCTCTTAAAATATATTGACTTTGCCAGCTTTAGCCCACATGGCAGCTCCTCCATTCAGTAACCAAACTGTTTCATGTAGAGATTAACCCAGTGATCCCACACTTGAAAGAGATCGCTGCAGGACTTCATTCATATTCTAACACCACCATTCTGTTGGGAAAGGCTAATTAATCCACAGTAATAGCACGGTGATGGAACCTGAAGGAACTGCTGAAAGGTGGCTCTGCTAAGGTGCTTCAGTCAAACCAGCAAATTTTATTTATGTGCTATAAATAAGTATCTTATAAGACCAATAAAATTATGGGAAATGGAGGACTAAATCATTAGCTGGATATTATATTCCTAACTGGCTGCTAAATGTGCCATTTCTGACATGGTGTTTGTGTTATAACATTGATCTCTGTGTAAGAGGCAACAGTCTGCAACAGCTAACCAGGATTTTTTTTATGGTAAAATAAATTGATAAAGAAATTTTTTCTTTACCTTATCCTTGGGATTCAAAAGATTCTTTAAAAAACTTTCCAAATTTCAAGAGCTGCTCCAAGAGAATGCAGTCCTAATACGAGATTTTTAGTTTATCCCTTTACAAAGAAGTATGCAAGTTCTCAGTGAACACAATTGTAAATTTGCTCTTTGAGCCCATGTAGCAGTGCATAATTGTTGGAACTATTTGTTATACGCTTTTTGGGAAATACAATTTAAAATGCATGCACATATACTTAAATTCCTAGCATCACACATCTGGGCCACAAACTTGGAGAGAATTACTAAGGTACCTAATTTTGTAAAAATGAGCAATCTCAGCAGATACAAATTTCCATCTGAAAAGATAATTAGTCTTAATTAGTGGACCTAATGAAACACAAAACATTTACCGTAATAATTTTAATACTTAAAAATCGATTCTGACTGCTTTTATCTGCCGTATTTTTGTCCTTGATAGTAACCAGAAGATATTTCAGTTCATATTTTCCTTACACCACCCCCTTGCTAGCATAACACAGAGAATTAAACCCAAAATTCTGTTTAGATCATGTCTTCTAAACAACAAATTTCTGCACAGTTCAGAGCACTGTCAGGGAGCCCAATGTCTCCAAGTATTACTGGAAAGAGATATTGTCAGGACACAGTTTAAGTGCCCTGGGTGAAACAGAGAGAGTTACTCCCAGGTGGTAAGCACCCAAGCACCTTGGGCATTCACTAGTACAGAACATATTAAACTTCATTTCTCACAGTCAGACTCCTCACTTTCCTTAGAAGTCAGACACTTTAGGGGGCTAAGAGTACACACTCAGGCACTGGAAGTGTACCTGAACATGCTCCCCTTTCTGGGCTTGTGAAGAGCTAGGAAAATATCTTCAAATGTTTTCCTGAATTTAAAAAGACCATCTACAATTTTATTCTGTGGTGACTAATCAAATATTTGCATATAGTTCATTAGAATTAAGCAATACCATGTCTCTCTAAAATTGTCCTCAAGAGAACCAGCACAAATATCTTTACACCCCAGCTCCTTGACAAGAGCTGCTGCAAACACCTGCGTCAGAACCTGCGCCGCCGCTTTCCACGAGTGAGAAGTGTTTGGCAGAGAAACAGGCTACCTAAAGGTCACTTCACCTCTCCTCACCTCTCTCACACCCACATCCCTGTCCAAGAGAGCTGCAGTTTAAGAGCTTCAAGCTCAGCCTGCAAATGAAATTCTGTGTAAAAGTCAGAAGATGAGGAGGAATGGGAGGGAGGTTGCAGAGCCCGTTTGCCAAGGCAGTGACTTTCACAGAGCCCTGAGCAAGCACACACAGCTTTGCAGTGGCCCCACACTGCTGTCTCTACTTGAGCAGAAATCATTTGGCTGTCTGAAATAACAGCACAAACCAGAAGAAACGGTTTTCTGTGAATAATTTGAGTTCAGCCATTCTTCCTTGCAGCAGGTCAGACTCAGAAATGATACCAGCTCACTCTTGCGTGTGAAAAGCAGTGGGGATGATCAGGTGCAGCAGTTATTCAACTGAGGAATGGTGTGGGGCCCAAAAACACAAAGGGACTGTGAGGTGCAACAGGGAATAGGAAATGGTATTCCAAGAACCAAAGAAAGCAGCAGTTGGGAATGACACTGTGCACCTGCTAAAAGCTGGAGAAGATTTGACTTTGCCCTGGAAAATAATTAAGATTATTGCATTCTAATAGGTGAATAAAGTGAGACCAGGAAGTGGAAACTGCTGATAAGACTGTAGAAAAAAAATCCCACCCAAATCTTGTCCCCCTGTAGAATGCCCCAGATCAGCCAAGCCAAGCTCATAAAATTAGGGAATAATAAATAAATGCCTCAATAAACAGATAATTGCCTTGTTCCTGTTCTGAGACAATGCACTGAGCCACACTGTCTTGAAAACAGCATTTAAATAATCCGTCTAGAAACCCCAAATATAAACAAATACTATTTATCTCTTCTCCAAAGCAGGAAATTGAAGTAATGAGATTAAAATATTTTTCCAAAGCTACAATTCAAGCCATTTGCAAATAGGATTAGATCTCAAAATCCTAGACCAGCCTTCTGCACACTAGAATATATGAACTCTTTATTAAGCTTTGGGGAATACTTTCTTAAAATAAGAAAAAAAAAAATCTCTTTGTCTAAATCTGTGTATTAGACTGCAAATGTAGTAGTAAGAACAGTGCAGTTTACTGATTAGGAAAGGATTACATGTTGATAAAAAAACCTGATCAGATGGCTGCACACACTGTAGAGCAAAGAAACACTTCACACAAATCGGAGTGCAGGGCAGGTGCACAGATTATTCTACAGAGCACCAGATGCAGCAGTTGGTTTCACCCATGCTTCACATCCGTGGGTAATCTTAAAACAGTACTGAGGGGATTTTTTTACCTTTCAGTCTTTCTTGATTTGTAGTTCTGATTCATTGTAATCCAGAAATTAATATTGGTTACAGGGAGAAAATGAGAAAAAAAGAGATGCTTATCAGGGTGTTCTGAAGCTTAATTAATATTTGCAATGCTCTTTGAGCTTCTTTGATGAAAGAAGCCATAGAGGGCAAAGTGCTATCTTATTATTATTTTTATTATTATTATTAATTAGTTTTCTATTGAATTCACTGCATCAATATATGGATTGTTGAACCCACTTGCTTCACCAATTGTTGTACTGTGCTCTTTACAAGTGCTCTTTAGAAGCTTCATTGTGGTGATTGAGAACATTGAAGAGGAAATAAAACAGAAAACAAATAAAGTCTACTTACAAGTTACAGACCTAAGTTTGAAACAAGCATTTTCTCCACTGATCTGGAAGAAGTTGTTGCCACAGCAATGATTGCATTTGATTACACTGATTATTTCCTTAGGTACTGGACTGTCCCTTTAAACACTGAGCTTCTAGATATTTGGGAATAGTCTGCCAAAAAAAAAAAAAAAAAGAAAGAAAAAGAAAACCCAAACATGACTTAGGAAGTTTAGTTCTGTGTTGTAGTTATTAATTCCCCTGTGTCCTGCCCATGACACACCCTGGGAGCAGGTGAGGTGCTGCCCGTGGGGGGCTCCAGGGCACAATTGGAGCTGTGGTCACAGGAGGGCCCAGAGCAGCTCTGCAGGGGGACCAGCAGCTCTGCCCACCCCTGTGCCCAGCCCGGGGTGACTCCTGCGACCCATTCCCTGCCTGGGCACCCCCATTCCCTGCCTGGGCACCCCCCATTCCCTGCCTGGGCACCCCCCATTCCCTGCCTGGGCACCCCCCATTCCCTGCCTGGATGGAAAGTGCTACCTGGCCTCCTCCACAAGGACCAGAGGCATATAAGCAATACAGGTTTGTTCCACTAATGACCATCTAAACCCCCAAACAACAGATTAATCATTGAAAAGAAAACCCATATCTAGAATTCATTTGTAAATCACTCATCTTTGGCTTCATATTTAAAAGTTAAGGCTACTTGTTTCGGTGTCCACATACTCAATTTTTAACACTTCTTTTCTGTAAAGAGAGGAATGTTAATTAAAAATATTAATTTAAAATTTCCTCCAGTTATTTCTCTTTTTCGTTGAAAATAGTAACCAATTTCATCACAGCTAAGCTCATTTTGAAGTCTCTGGGAAATAAATACTTTTAGCTCAGTGCTATTTTATGTACTTGCATTAACTACAGATAAGAAATCTGAAATTAGTATGATTATTTATAATTGTATTTTTTTAAAAGATCAATTACTGCTTTCTGTTGCTGCTGAAGTTAAAGTACTGGTTGTCAGCTTATGTAAATCTACATTGTTGCAGGGGAAGTTCATTTTCCAGCACCTGAGAATCAGGTTTCTGCATACCAAATTCCAAATCTTTTAGCTGTGTGTGACTCACTAGCAAGAAAAAGCTTCTCCCTCCTGTGCACAGGGGTATTCAAAGGCTGCGTTGCCATTTAGAAAAACCACGGTTATACACTTTAGGAAGTGTGCATTGATTTATTTCCTCAGCCAAGAGTAGAGAGGAGCACAGACTATAGGAAAAAACTGCTTTTTCAAGGGTCCCCAGAGCAGCCTCTCTTGTGCCAATCACTCACTTTTATCAGTCACTATTCCCACAGCCATTTCTGTACACAGGACAGTTTTCCAGCTGGACACCAAACTTGACTCCATTGCACAGATTTGTTTATAGCTCACACTTCTCCCCTTTCCCCTCCCCCTACTAATGCCAGAAACAAGCTGCATTATTTTTCTCTTTGTGAGTACATCATTTAGTTTTCACTCAGCCTTTAACAAGGTTATACACCCATTAAGAATTAAGCATGTTTTGCCACCAACAGATTTGACCGCTGGAACATACTCATTTTTTAATTTAATGCTGTTTTAAAAAAGGAAGGCAAAGCTAAAATCATTATTATGAAAATGAGACTAGCATTTGGAGAGAAAAGACAAGCAATTTCACAGCAAACAAAGGGATCCATAATAACACATCTCTATAGTCAGCCAAATGCTTTATTTTTTTAAGCAGTCATTTTCTTTTATTTGTAAATTTGGGATTATAATGAAAGTTGGCAATTGAGTAGGTTACAATTTTAAAAAGATCTGCCAATAGGAATGGCAGGGAGAATACTGAAAGCTACTATGTGAAATGAATAAACACTGAGAATATATAGTATGTTTTACTCTTCGGAAGTTTGCATAAAGCTTGGAAGCCATGGGAATAGCTGTCATTGCAGGCTGGAGAGCTGTGTGGGGTGTCCAAGCTGCTCTGCCCCCAGAGCTGGAGTGCAGAGCCCTGTACAGAGCCCCATCCTGCAGTGCTCCGCCTCCCTCAGCACAAGTGGCAGTGGCAGCTCATCCCTCCGTGGGCTGCTCCTCTCACGGGCTGGGATGTGCTCACACACAGCTCACACTGCACCGCTGCCTCAGAAATATCTGCACAGCATCTGCATTGCACTACAGACATAGCAAGGGGGTTAAGCGTGCTGTGCCTTGTTCACACTGATTTCCTAACTCTGACTTCCTTGATTTCCAAGCAAAGTCCATTAGGACCCATCTCATTTGTTTCCTCCCATTGACTACCGAAGGTGCTAAATCATTCTATAAAATGTTTCTCAGTTTATTACCTAGCTTGTTTTATGACTGCAATAATTGCTAGACTTAGTTCTTTAATCTTCAACACATCATCTCAATGAATTCACTTTATAACATACATTGAGGGCTAAACTGCTTTTGTATTGAAAAACCCTGAAAGGTATCTGACTAGACTTGAAATATCAAATCCTATGACAATTTCTGATAACATAATGATAGCCACACCATTCAAAAATATATATCCCATCAGAATATTTTCCTTCTCTACATGAAGGATGAGAGCAAACACATCTTAATTAACTATTTGATTGTGTCTCTATAGGTCTCATTGCTTTGAGGTCTAAAGCTAGCATTTCTAGCAACTAAAAATGTGGGCAAACAAGATTCTTGAGGCTGCTGTTGCTTTTAATCCCTGAAAGCTGGATGGTGCAATCCTCAAAGATCCTTACCAAATGGAAATACCGTACTTACAACTTCAAAAATTTTTCATCACAGTGCAGATTTCTGGCTCCTGTCCAAGAAACATTCCCTTCTCCTCAGCCTGCTTCTCAAACCCTGTGGCTGTTCTTAGCAACTGATGATATCATCTGACCTTTCCCTCTATTCTCACTCTCTGAGGGTATGTTCATATTTGGGATTGAATATACTATTGAGCTGGAGCTGATATTTAATTCCGAAATATTAATCCTGAAAGAAGAGAATGCATACTGACTGGCCCAAAATGGATGACATGTCACTAGGGTATCTTATACATAGAAAGCATCAAAATAAACACACAGGAGGTCAATTGCTCAGATTCAAATAATAAAATCCTCTACTTCATCTACTTGGGTTTTTTTCAAAGACATTTAGTATTATGTACAGGAATAATATTTAATGTCATGGAATTTCGTACTGCTTAATTATTTTGCTGAAATTCTTGTAAAGTTAGAGCTTAGTGTTCCCAGCAATGCAAGACACTGACACAGGAGTGACCCCTCAGGATTAAGGCAGTTGCCTGCATAGCTTGCCGTGTCTCAAAAGGTGCTCAGTTACTGTTGCCAGAGGAAATTTTAAAACCAGAATAGAATTACAGGTTACCTTTCTAGACTGTCTCCCCAGCTTCAGACTTTGCTTTTCAGAGACTAGCTCAGGCAGAAGTGATGTGTGCACATTTAAGAGCTAGCTGACTTGCTGTATATATTACAGCATATGCACTTTAGTCTTGCTGCTGTTTGCTACATTGCTATTCAAATTACTGTAAGGCTTTCTTTCTCACTGATATCAGATACTGCCACTTTTGCAATTACTAACAAAATACTGGATGGAATAAGTATAAACATGTTACTTTCCCCACCAATTCCTGCATTTTAAAGGCTTTGAAAGAAATTTGAGCTTAGCAATAAAAGCTAGCACAAAAGAAAATGAAATAACTTAATTGTGGAAACTTACTTGGATTTGTTTTTTTCACTTTCAAAGATACATTTGTACTTCCTCCATATTTGGACATTCAATAATCTCAAATTATTTCATTGCTCTGTGAACATTGTTGGTAATTTTGATTACACCAAATATTGGCTGCCTTGGCCAAATGAATTTTTTTTCACAGTGTTTTTTTAATTCAAGTAATTGAAATGCTTATTTGGCTACCACCTATACATATAGGGGTATCTCCTGTGTGTACAGTGTATATATACTTGTCTCTCTAATCTCTTTTTGTCTAACTGAATCAGCTTTCCTAACATTCTGTAGAAGAAAATAACTTCATGGAAATCCTATTCTCCAAAGTAGTTCTTATGTTGACAGATTTATTTCATTGGGTCTCTAAACACATTATTCCTTTACAGATGCTAAGTATATCATTTCATAGGCCATTTACCTTTATAGTTATGGACATTTTAGGAGTATTGAAGTATTAAAATACTAGATCTTAAGCTATATGCACTGTAAGTTTAAAGATAAATAAACTGAGTAAGTGTACATACATCTACCTCTCTGCAAACTATACAACAAAGGCACATATCAGCATGAGGTGGGTATAAAGATTTCATCAGCAGAAACTTGGAATAACCTCATTGATTCTGAGTGGTGCAGCCCCAAAATGAATTCCAACTGTCAAACTATGAAGAGCTATACAATGCCAGTAGAGGGTATTACAGGAAAGTTTTGCAGAAATTGATAAACTTCATTAATACTGTTTTCTTGATAGCCCTTGGCTCTTGAGGTTGGCACTTTAAAATCACAAAAAAATAAATTTCATACATCCAGTTGAGTTGGGCAGATATCTATCTACATCACAATGTCTGGCTTCTCTACTTTTTAAATAATTTTATGCATGAGTGAAATGCTAGTTTTCCAATGGTATTTTCATACAAACCAGGTAAGCATATTTTACCTCTAGGTCAGCAAATTCTCTCAGGACTGCTGCAAAGTAGATGTATCTCACATAATTCTGCCTACATCTTCTGCACTGAAGGAAAGCCAGAAGGTGTGAGCACTGCAGTCATTTCTGTGTCTGGAACAGACTCAGCACAGCAGGTTTGTCAGAGCTGCTTGTTGAGGTGGCACTGGCAGCACAGCCATGGCAGCACAGGCCAGGGCCCAGCAGAGGCTGGCTTTCATTGAGTGCTCTTGTGACAGCACAACGTGGCCCAGATAAGCAAGCTTAAAGCCAGCTTCATGTACAAAAGTGCAGGGGATCACTTCACACTTGTCACTCTTGGCTGTCCAGATGGCAACAGGGAAACTACAACCACCCAAAACCAGAACCAATTCTCCAGCACATGATCTCTCACGTGGCAACGGCTCCATGGCAGTGATCTACATTTCTGTCTTCACCAAGACACTCTGTACAAGAAACTGCCTACACACAATCTCC